GAAGCAGATAGGCAAATCGACTTCCTACAACAGCTCGGGCCTAGGTGTTGGACCTGTGCTTGACACACTTATAAACAAATAACATTCCTGAGTCCATTACAAAAATCCGTAACATGGGGAGAATATAATTACCTCAGTGGGTTGTCAGGAGATTAAATGCAAAATACGTAACACAGCTCTTGTACAGCAAATGTTGAATAGATAGTAATTGTCATGATTATGTTTATACCTCGATTCCTGAAGGTAGCTATTTAAACACTAAACCTGGGTTTATAGCATTACATTAAGCATTTGGGGGTTGGTACTTTTTCCCTCACTTAACAAATATCTGAAAGAGCAAACTGTCTTGGCACAGAGTTTTAGGAAGTGGGGATTGAAACCTGTCATATGTTTTTAATGATGACAAGCTATGCTGACTTAGCCAATTGATTTTTCCTCCTCTTTTTCTTTAAGCACAAATGTTGTTTTAAGTTTGCTGCTGAACTGGGGAGTTGAAGTAAATGCATCATCAACATTTGACAGTAAGAGGAATTAAGCAAAAGAATCAAGTTCTTTACCTCTCTGTTCACTTTTTCTTCCACCAAGACCAATTCTGGGAGGTGAATATTATTCCTATCAACTCCCTTTTATCTAAAAGGATCTGCGAAATTGAAGACAAAGATTTAAGATTAAGATTTTAATATTAGTGACAGCTTATTGGTATAGTGCTTTGCAGTTGTAAGATGCTTTCATATTTTACAAACCACATGGTTTTTAGGTTTGTGAGATTATAAATTGTATTTTGCTCACTATTTACCTCTAATCCCTATCCCAATGCTTGGTGCACAATAGATGTTTAACAAATATATGGATGAACCTCCAAATAAGTCCCTAGGGTAATTGTATGATGCCATCATTATTCCCCTTTTATGCAAGAAGAAATTAAGTCTTAGAGATTTCATCATGACTTGCTTAAGGCTGTCCTACTGGTGAGTGGTGGAAACCAGACAGGAACACTGTGGCTTGTTCTGTTTTTCTAGTATATACTTCAGGATTTGTTTTTTTTTTTTTTTTTTTTTTTTGAAAAGAAGCCTAGTTAGTGATGACAAAAATTAGTTTCCTTCCCAATCAATGAGAGAAGACCCTGAGAGAATGTAAGGGATTCAGAGATATACACACGCACGCACATGCACGCGTGCACACACACCAAAAATTGTCTGAAATATGGGCAGAGAAGTTGGAGAAGAGGACCCAGCCACTTCACTTTTTGAAGTTTCTGGAGTAAAGAAATCCCCAAACAGAAACCCCAACTGTCAACAGCACAGTTTAGGTCAGACTGTAGCAAATTTTCTGTTGGGAGAGACCAGTACTAGATGTTGTTAGCTCAGTGTGTTTTGGATCTATCCTTGTAAACATAATAAAAATAAATCACTCTTAGTTGCTGCACTTAGCTCATGGAGGACCAGTAACATTCCAGCATAGCCCGTAGACCATACCTTGACTAACATTGGTTTAGATTTTAACACATTAAAAAATATTACAATTTTCCCCATAATATTTTAGTACAGTGTTTATTAAAAATAGCAATTCATAGTGCACTATAGGTGGTGAGGGTCAGCATAGGGACACAAGCATAAACATGTGTGATGAGAAAATTGTTCTTTCAACTACGTCAGTACATTTCCAAGACCATATAACCTCATTTAGAGACAACAGCAAAACTTGGTGCCTAAGGCACATTCTTGAAGCCCTGCTCATGTATTTGTGTCCTGCTGTTTTTCACACTTATGAAATATTTTGATTAATAAAACACAACTTAGGTAACAAAACACAACTTAGGTAACAGTTCTAAAGAATTTATATTATCTGCTTGATTTCTTTTCCCTATTCAGCTGGTATTGAAACTGCTATCTTGTGAGAGAATCAACGGAATTATGACATGAAAAAGAATTCCTTATACTTGAAATCTTTGCCGACTGCTTCTCCACGTAGACCTTGAAAGGTTTAGGTGGAAGTTGGCTAATTCCACTGTGTCTGAGGAATCTCCAGTACAAGGACTTGACTGTCTGGCCTGTGGCTGACTGTTAGTCCCACATCCCAATTCTCCATGAGAGAAAGCAATGCTCCATTTACTCACTCAGTAACATCCAGTGTGCCAGACACTAGCTTAGGCAGCAGGACCGTGGCCTCCGCCCTCAGCAACCTCAGGAGGAAGCAAGTGGGGGTGGCAGATCCGTTCATTAGCAGTCCAGGGTTGGGAGGTAGGGACAGAGCTAGTGTTCTCCAAGCCCCTGCTCTGCACTGAGGTGTGTGGGGCTGGCAGCGGGACTTCTGACCCTCTCACACCGGACCCTGAATGAGTCCCTGAACCCTTGGGACTGAACCTGGGTGGCATTTTGTTTTAGTGCAAGAGCTGGGCTTTTCACACAGAAATGCTAGTAATAGGAACTTAAGTGGCTAAAGAACATTGTCCATATTTCTAGGCAAAAATGAAACAGCGGAATGTGAGGCTGTAAGCTGGCTTCCTGGGCACGAAGCAGTGGCACAAAGTGTCTCAGGATGATGAGGCTGGCCGGCAGTTTGTGTTCCCAAGGTTGGGACAGATTTTGATTTTCCTGAGCTGAAGAACAGATAATTCTAAGGGACAATGGGCTTTTTCTTTTCCTTTTTCTTTTTCTTTTTCTTTCCTCCCCTAGTGGCTCCTGGAGACAAGCACAATTTTTGCACTTCTCCGAGCTAACTTCCCTAGACCAATGCTACTCAAACTTGAATGAGCATGTGACTACCTGTAGGATCTTGCTATACTGCCGGTTAGGCTCAGCAGGCCTGGAGCAGTGCCTGAGATTGCTTCCAACACGCTCCCTGTCAGGGGTGCCAAACCACTGCTCTGTGGGAGGTGCTTTGAGGAACAGGGACCAAAAAACCCACCTGGTGGCCTGGTAACATGGGAACTGGCCTCACCTGCTGTGTGGAGGGCGTTCATCCCTGCTTCAGCCACACTTGTGCATGGCAGTCACCATGTTGTCTGCAGTGGCATTTTCTTCTCTCAAGGGCCTTAGGTAGTCTAAAGGGATATGGCCGGAGAGTATGTGTTGGTTGCTGTTTAGTTATTTAAAAAACAACTTTGTCCTGCTTTGCAATACATCTTCTTCAGGGAGAAATGCTAATAGTAGCTGTGATGCAAAATCAAGATATGCTTAATCCCACACCATTATAAGGCACTGCCTTGACCTGTATAACTTGTGTGTCCTGCATATTGTGGGGGCAGTTTACCATAGTAAATCCTGCAGAAACCTTGGTAATCCAATCATAAATGATGGGCTTGTGTTCTGTCCAGTGATTTGATTTCTCAGCAACCCGTTTAAAGTGGAAGGGTTACAGAGTAAATCAGTAAAAGGAACTAAGACCATTGATTATATTTTGGGCATTGGCTTTAGCTGTCATCAGATATAGTTGGTTATTTGGGCCTCCTACGTTAAAAAACGATTACAGAAGTCTAAAAACAAATTTCATCTTGATGTTTTGCCACTTTTGAACTACATCAAATGGGTTCTCAGGAAGTAAAGGCTCAAAACTCATTCAAAATTAAACTCAAAGTGATTTCAGGAAAATTGAGGCTTCCTGTCACAAGATGGGTTTAAAAGCACATGCCTGGGTTGTGGGTTTGGTCCTCCGTCGGGGCGCCTATGAGAGGCAACTGATGAATGTTTCTCTCCCTCTCCTTCTCTTCCCCTCTCTCTAAAAATAAAAATAAGTAAAATCTTTAAAATAATAAAGCCCCAGTCTTTTATTCAGTGCAATGCATCCCAGGCCAGCAAGTAGTTTTTCCATCATTTTCCCAAGCTGATGGAACTGATTTTTAATGAAAAGATAATCATTGTAACATAGACCAAACTGATCTTCCAAAATTACTTTTAGTGGATTTGGGAGAGTGGCTTGCATAATGTCTAATTTCTTCATTTATTTTTATAGGTCACATTCCATCCCCAAACCATTCCATGGGTCTGTCAGCGACTTTGATTGAGGCAGAAATTTATCTTATCAAATATCCTGACTTAGGGCTTGGAAGGGTCTTTGCTGTTAAAAGGGTTTTTGTTGTAATGGTATTTATCTTAATCAGATTTGGCTGACACATCTCTTACTCATAGAATTTTAGAAGGAAAAATAATCTAACCAACTTAGAAATCACCTAGTGCAACCAACTTCTTTTACTGCTAGAGAGTTTGCCAGGGTCACCTGAGCTTGTCTTTGAATTCCAATTCTCGGCTCCCTCCAGTCTCCCATGGTGCATTTCTGTGTTGATATCAGGATGTGATATGGTGGCTGTGAGGAATGTCCTATCTGATAACCATTTACCACATTTCTCTGCCATCCAGACCTTGCCTTCTAGCAGAGTCGCAGCGGACCCATCAATGCTCCAGGGAGACAAAATGGCATGGTAGGAGCCTGGATTCTACAGTTCAGTGTTCTGGGTCAAACTCTACCTTGCTCAGTACATGCTGTGTGACTTTGGGCAAGCCACGGAGCCTCTATGCCTCAGTTTCTTTAGATTTAAAATCGGGAACTTCCTCATAGAATAGTGGGGATTGAATGAATACAGAGCAGTTGGAGCAAGCAGTCAGGTGCATTGTATGTGGATTTGCAAATTATGAGTTTCCACTAGGTATTGAGTTGTGAAACCAGTGATCTGAACCACATGGCACATAACAGAATAAAATAGAACATATTAAAGTGCATTGCATTTATGCAAGGTACTATTTGGTGTCCCTTTCTCTTTTCTTTTTGGTGTCCCATTGGGGAGTGTGTGTGTGTGTGTGTGTGTGTGTGTGTGTGTGATGGCTTACAATGCAAAATAATTTCTCACTGTGGACTGTAATTAGAGAATTTGGAAGCCCCTCTCTAGGGCCTGGAGAGAGTGAATCCATTTCTCTAAGCACAGGCCTATCAGGGTGAATAAGGGACATTTTAGCATGAATGCACAGGTGAGCAATGGCTGAAACTCAGATGTGCTTCCTTTGCAGAGGGAGACCAAAGGGCAGTTTCTGATTGACCACATCTGCAACTACTACAGCTTGCTGGAGAAGGACTACTTTGGCATTCGTTATGTGGACCCAGAGAAGCAGCGGGTAAGAGCTGATTTATGTCTGGACTCATTTGGGGGAGCCACTCGGGCTCTGGGGTGCTGACGAGGTTCCCGCCAGAACAATTGTGATGCACTCTCATTCTCATGGCTATTGATGGATATTGACTACTTGAAACCGACCAGCCTTGGTGCGGGGGGGGCGGGGGGAGAGCACGCACGCACTCTCATAAGAGTCTAGGATTGTTCCCAGTGGACTGGGTGAGGCACGAGAAGGGAACACTTACCCTAGGCCTTTCCAGAAGTTCCTCCCACTTGGTTGAAGACAAAATGTTCCTGTACCTTTCGAACCCCAAGTTTGCCAAAGCTCTTCAAACAGTGGCTACTTAAAGTCTTGTTGTAGAGAAAATCCACTTCTCACTATAAGAAGCTACTGGTACACAGGAGAACAGGGCAGTGACTGCTTAATGGGTTCAAGGTTTTCTTTTTGGGTAAGGAAAATGTTTGGAACTTGAAGTAGGTGGTGGTTATACAACATTGTGAAAATACTAAATGCCACTGCAATGCACACTTTAAAATGGTTAGCTTTGTTATGCGAATGCCAACTCAATTTTAAAAAGCTTTGGCAAATGAAGGGTTAAGATACTTTGAAAGCTGCTTCTTGGACACCACTAAATTTGACAGCGCCCTCTGTGTTCCTGCTCTTGGACACATCTATCCTTTCTGGTCTCTTGGTGTTTAAGAGTGAGCGGAGGGTCTTGCCTTTTGAGCTGGTATACCAGCCTAATTGTGTTCAGGCACGGCATATGTCAGATTCACAGTGATGTATGCTCCTCACTTCCATAGGTCCCAGGAATCTCCGCCCCAGCTCCCAGCACCTGCTGTAGATCGCAGGTATGGGTTAGAAGGCCTTGTATCTGCTTCTTACCCTGCCCTACTGCCAAGCAGAGCAATGTGTGAAAGGCTCAGCTAGGGGTGGTCAGGGATGGTGGGACAGGTCCCCTCAGACTTTAATTTTCTCTCTTTCTTACTAGTGTCTCTGGGTCATCTTTTTCCCCTACATAGAACATCACCTGGTTCTTTTTATTTTGAAGATTATTTATTTATTTTTAGAGAGAGGGGAAGAGAGGGAGAAAGAGAGGAAGAGAAACTTTCATGTGAGAGAAACATCAATTGGTTGCCTTTTGTACACACCCTGACTGGGGACCAAACCCACAATGGAAGTGTGTGTCCTGACTAGGAATTGAACTGGCCACGCTTTGCTTTGTGGGATGATGCCCAACCAACTGAGCCACACTGGTCAGGGCACCTCCTGGTTCTTGCTTTTTGTGTTTACTGACCTAATACTATGAGGAGAAGCATGTACTTTGGGAGAAGAGTAAAGGAGGAAGCTGTTAAGGAATAGATTAGATTTTCTTCTAGAACATGGGGAATCTTAGTAGCTCCTACAGTCGAGCAGGACCTAATCTTCTATAAAGAAATACAATATGGTGGCTCAGAAGGAGATTTTGGTTTCCTGTAGCACTCTTAGGGACCCATTAATGGGCCAAGCATTTACCTGAGTGAGAGGAAGGTAGTAGGACACTGATGAGGATGTAGGGCTGACATGAGGTTGCAGAGGGGATGTGGGCCATTTACTAATGATTAACAGTGGTTCCCAGACCTGGCCCTGCAGCAAAATCCCCTTAGGTTTTTGCTAAATATGCTTAGCGTGGATCCTATTCTAGACCTCCTGAACAGAGTCCTGGGTCTAGGGCCAGGGACATGTATTTTAACTCATCCTGGTTCTACTTTTGATACAACATGCCAGTTTTGGTCTCCCGCCAGTGTTGGGGACCATGGCATAAAGACATCCGTAGACATAACTTCTTATGGCCTATGAAGGTGTTACCTTGTGTGGAGAGAAAAACGTGGAGGCTCGAAGACGTTCTTACGTGCCTAAGGTCTCACAGCTAGTAAGTGGAGGAGCGAGTATTTACATTTAGGATTATGGTTTAAACCCTAATCCTTATATGCCAGACAGATTCTGTGGACTATATTCATCATATAGCCACCACTGTGTGGAAAATTCCACTTTAAATTCTGAACAGCCAACCTATGGAAGTAACTCTACTATTGGATGAGCATCTATCATGTGCCGGGAATGTTACTCATATGGTCTCTGGTCTCTCCCAATATACTGCAGGGAGTGAGAAAACCGGAGGTGCAGGGAGGGTCAGTGGCCTGCCTGAGGCCCCATGGCCAGTCATTGTTGGAGGAAGGATGGGATTTGAACCCATATTCTTTCCATTTTATCTCCCACATGAAAATCTGAAACATAGTCTAGATCAGGGATCTCTAACCTTTTTCTGTCAAGGACTATATAGAAAATATTTTCACTTTTGTGACCCACGCAGCCTCTGTTGTAATTACTCTATTATTTCCATTATGGAAAGCAGCCAGAGATAATCTCTAAAATAATGGATGTGGCTGTGTTCCAAAAACAAAATAAAAAACAAAAAAGAAACAAAACCTTTTTTCCAGTAAAAGTATTTTACAGAAAATAGGCAATTGGCCATATTTGCTGACCAATAGCCTAGACATTAGCTGGAAACCACTTAAACACATTAGCTTTTTTCATTTCTTTTGACTCTCTCATTGGGGAGATAATGGATAAAACATTAAAAAGTGTTTAAAATTGGAATCAGAGATATCAATATGAACTCATTTTTTAAAAAACATGCATAAATAGATGTAGAAATCAATATAGGTATGTGTATATGTGGGCTAGTACACCTACATATATTTATAGGTTCTGTCCACTGAGATGGCCTCGAAGCAATGACATCACAGTAGCAATGAGCACACCAAGCTCCCAGATCTTGGCTTCTTTTTTAGAATCTATAATTTTTATTTATTTTATTTTTTAAATTGAATTTATTGGGAATACATTGGTTAATAAAATTATATAGGTTTCAGGTATACAATTCTACAATATATCATCTGTATATTATATTGTGCATTTACCACACCAAGTCAAATCTCCTTCCATTATCATTTAGATCTTGGTTTCTAAATACCATTCTCCAATAAAAGGAACAAGGGCTCCTTGCAGAAATGGCTGATTCTAGGGCTGGGACAGGGAAATCACAAGATGAATCTGAAGCATATTCAGGTGCCAAAAAGTAAGGAAGTGCTGATAAAGCTAAAAGATAAGGCCCTAGGAAAGGCCCAGAGCCAACCTGAAAGAACTTCTAGTGGCCCACACTGGGACAGGAGTGGCAAAAATAAATAACAGTATTGAATTACAATCCCTAGAATAAAATAAAGATCTATGCGTTCTTACTGATACAAAGAGAATGACTGAGTAAAGAAATAAAAGAGGGAGAAGGGGCAGCTTTTCCTTACAGAGGAATTGAAATTAATAAATGTAGAAGGAATGAGAGAAATAAAAAAACTGCCATTAGAACACCACAATAATAACTGTTGTAGGCAAGATCCCCGGATGAATGCTGAAATCTGTGGGCAAAAGTTTGAGGAGAAATAGGAGATTTCTCATGGTCTCAAAGTATCTCCCTCACTCCTTGGTAGGTTTTAATTACAAAGGGACAAAGAATAACTTTATAGTAAAGAAATCTGGTAGACCTCACTTTAACCAAGAGATCAAGGTTAACAGCACCAGTAAAAAGATGTACCAACATCACGTTACCTCTGTTATCATGCACTGAGAAGAGGAAGGGCACAGTCTCTGCGGTGTTTTTCTTAAGAATGCATAATCTCCTTCAAATTCTGAGAAAACATTGGACAAACGGAAGTAAGACACATTCTTCATAGTAGCTTATCAATACTCTTCAAAGGTGCAAAGGTCAAGAAAGGTGAACAAAAACTGGGAAACTCAGTTTAGAGAGAGATACATCTAAAGCAACATGGGGCCCTGACTGGGATTCTGGAACAGAGAAAAGTATCAGTAGTGGCAAAACTGGTGAACTCCAATTTAAGCCTACGCTTTAGTTAATAGTATTGTGTTCATAATTAGGTTCTTAATTTTGATTATTGTATTATAGTTATATAAGATGCTAATATTAGGGGAAGACGGGTGAAGGTTACACAACACTTTGCAAGTTTTCTATATATTTAAAGTTATTTTTAAGTTAAAAAGTCTTTAGGTTGATGTGCTTCATTGTTCTTTATATTTTGATTTGGTTTAGCTTAATTTTTAATGTTCAGACTTTGGTAGTAGCTTGGTGGAAAAAAATGTGAGTCACAACCTCCAAAACTGTTTTATCTGATATATCCATTCAGTTGCTTAGAGGGCTGTCTAAGTAGTTTTGTTTTTCCCCTGCATCACACAGCAGTTACAGCCTTTTGATTTTGAGGCTACAATGTGAGTGTACTTCCACATGGGTTTCGGAGCAGTTGCTGCATGAAAGTGCATGGACTTTGTACCCTGAAATAAGTGAATTAAATCACATCTTTGCTGGTTAATAAGCTGTGTGAGGTTGATCAAGTTTACTGAGCTTCTCTCTCTGTCCAGATTGTTAAAACAGATAACAGTACCAACAGGTAGAGTTGATATGGGAATGAGAGATAAGGTATGCAAATGCTTAACAAATGGTATAATATACTGAGTACATGGCATGTGTTATTTTTATTGTTATTAACTGTTATTACTCTGTATTGGTTAGGTCTAGCTGAAGCAATTACAAGAGGAAAGAAGGCCATGATTAGCAACTTAAAAACCTAGAAATGCAAATGATTTCTTTCAAAGGCAGGGTGACCATTATAATGATCTTTGGGGAAAGATCACTCTCCAAGGGAGAATGAGCCTTGGAGAATTAGAAAAATGGGCTCAAAGGAACAAATATTCTGATATAGGAGTTTTAAGCAGAGATTAATTGACCAGCCTTGTTTTTTTTTGGGGAGGGGGGATTTGGGGTTTTTGTTTTTGTCTTGTTTTGTTTTACAGTTCATGTATTTCTTCTCAATGGAAAATAAGACCAATGTATTATTGGGATAAAAAGCTAATCATCAAAGAAAATCAAGTTATGTAGAAAAGCTGAAGTGGAA